TGTGGACAGTTCTTATCAAGAGAGAAACGTCAGGCAAATAATGGTCGGTGCTGAGTGCTGACAAAATGCCTTCAATCGAGCCAACGATACAGGAAAGCAGTTGCTACCGCACTACATTCCCATCTATCCCTGACCCGAAAGCCCAGTGGCGCACGAAACTGAACATTTAGAATAATAAAGTGCCGTGAATGGCCTGAATAGGCCTCAAGGAGGTAGGATCTTGTTAAAATAGCGGGGAAGTGGAATTACGCAGTTGCATGCATAATTTGCTAGGCACTCGCATGCTTATTTTATGCTGACAAAAATGGCAATGGTGCCATGGTCTGAAATTCGAATTCTCTGCACACGGATGTTCATGGTGTAATGCTGGCATAGCGGGCAGACATTTTGGAGTCAGACAACCAGTTGACGGCTAAGAGTAGCATGCGGTCGATGACGAAATCGTAGGGAGTCAGACGGGCGAAACGGACGGGGCAGCGCGGAACCCGACGGCGCGAGCCGCAGGCAGTCGACCCTGCGCCCAGTTCCGGGTCACGACGGGAGCGACTGACGTGCTGGAGGTCAGCAGCAGGAGACTGCACCCGTTAGACCGGTGCTGTGATGGACAGGAGGGCTCTGCTCGACGGTCGTGACCGGACGGCGCTCCAGGCCCGGCCAGCGTGGCGGGAGGCGGTGCCAGCAGCTGGACATCTAGTCATCCCAATCATCCCAATCCTAATCCTAATCCTAATCATCCTAATCATCCCAATCCAGTCCATGCGTCCAAACGTCCAATCATTCTGCCCCTGCGGAGGCTACGCACTGGAAGCCGGGTGTATGCTGCACGTATACAGGCTCCTTCAGCGTCACCGCCAGCAAGTGTTGCAGAGATATTTCAGCTCCGCGGCGCTGGCCGATATCTGCGGTGAGATGATAATGCGCGCTGATTGGTGACGCAGACGGCGCGAGGGAGCGATATTGATCGACCGGGGAAATATAAATGCGAGGGGAGGGGAAGGGGGACTGGGCCTCAGATAGACAGGGGTGGCCGCGTTATGGCATACTTAGTGATGGTTCAGTGTCAGGGATTCAGCTTTATATTTGGAATTTCTATCCGACAGCAGATGCTATACTATTTCCTCCCGCAAAACTCATTGATATTCAGGTTTAGAATGGCGCCGTAAAATTCACGGAAATGGATTACAGGGTATGTTGACGCCGCAACTTGACGGAGCTGTCATAATCTGACTGCGTTAATCAGCATGTTAGGCACGGATAGCTAACAGCTAAAGTAATGCACTGCAGCCCTGTTTTCTCGTAGAGAAAGCTACCATGCACCATAGCAGGCGCCGAGATGGTCTAGATAATACACAAACAGACATATGCCGCTACCTCGGAAGCATATCTTAATCTCCATTACTCCGTGATCTTGTTCAAGCCGAAAACAAGCCTTACCGACGACGTCCCCACTTATGTGCGTGGAATGGTGCGCGAATATTGCCTAGAGCTGTAGGGCTGTCACGGATTGGCGACTAATCTTTGGTACCTGCGTCCTAACCATTTCAGAAACTTCCGCACTTTCATGCAATTTCCGGTACACTATGCATGTTGTGCCACAAAGGTGTTAGTTTGCCCTTCACAGCGGCTACAAGCGCAATGAACACAGCCAGCATTTATATCACCAGTCACCACTAAATCAAACTCAAACAGACTGTGATAGCATTGCCGAAAGCTAACCATCCTTTTCAATTTTGCAAGTTGATTGGGAAAAGTAAGATTTATGAACTACCGGGCTATCCGGAAGCAAGAGCTCTGCTCCCGGGCGGGGATCAATGTTTGTTCTTTTTCGGAAGATGTAAGGATTAGGGAATGAAAAACCGATACCTTTATAAGAGGATATACAGAGGGAAACTTCCTGGAAATTGTTGAGCGGGACGGGCGCACCAGGATTTAAGGTCAATCCTCATGATAAACATAACGCATTGAAGGGCTTACAGGGCCGACATGAAACGTTATTCAAATTGACGTCTTATCTCAAACCCAGTATTGCAGGCAAACGTTCTCATCAGGATTCACCATCAAAGACAGATCTACTCAGGGGGATCGCTCCGACTCCGACTCACGGTGCATGGGGCTTGTCGCATTTTCGATCGCGACCAAACGACAACAAATCGACAGACAGAACTTTGAGCTGACTTCAATTCAGACGCAGGGGAAAGGACTTAATTTGTGAATTCAGCCGATGGGGGCGACCACGGTTACAATAGGTCCGGGTGTAGTTCGTTTTATGCGCACCATGGAAGTTTACGTATAACGTATGTAAAGCATTGGACTTCGGCCTTTGATTTCGCCACGACAGTCTTATGCTGCCGATCACCATGCCAACGGTCTTTTTAAGGTTTGTGCTTTACATTGCTGTACAAACTGAAGCAAAAGCGAACATTCTGAAATAAATTGGGAGTCCGAGCTTCGTTGACGAACCATTGCGTGAAGACCACTGACGCAGAATAAATTGCACCAGTGACATAGTCCAAGATGTTCTGGTGGACTGTACGTCACACATGAACCATGGTTACGAGCGAGCCCACATACCGAGGTAGTCTTTCGTCACTTGTGAACAGAGACGTGATGCCTGTAAGACGCATTTTGTGGCGTGGGACGAGCCATGTAACACCAGACGTAGCCATTACAATCGTGCAGATGTTGCCTAAGCGCACGTGAATGCAGCCCTTCGCGTTTGGAAAAATCGCACGAAAGGAATGCATCAGCGCACGGTAGTGTACCCTTTTTATGGGCTTAGCAAGCGGAGCTGCACTTATCCTTAGTGTTTACGTTATCCTAAGCGTTATTCAGCCTTTTCTCGTAACTTGAAGGATATGTATTTCCCTGCTGATCGAATGGGGAGGTAAAATTGAGGAGACATTGCAAAGTTGCGAAACCAGCCACGTGATCAAACAGGCTGTATTGCAGTACAATGATAAAATTACGGCGCAGTTTTCCAGGAATTTTTCTACTTGTCGCTAAAATCTTCATGCCGCCGTAATCAGAGGTGGCAAAGGCAAGAGTTCGTCAAAAGCGTCCCAAGCTGGGCGGGGCTTAGCTAGGCCGCTGAACCTAGGCAACATCCGGGTCAGTTGACGCTAGGCTCGCTCGATCCGTGTCCTCGACCGTAACAGTTCCAACTGGAACGACCATACCCGGTATAGCCAGCCCATCACACTGGTGATAGGCTTGTACATTGGCGGGCAATGATTACAGTTCCGTGCAGCTTTCGCAACAAGTCGATCGAATCCGTTAAAGCTGCGGCGCCTGAGACGACAAATGCCGGTCAGTTTCACTTCCTGTCCGCTTTTAATCTGTGCGATTTGTGAATCAGTGCATGCACTGACCTCGGTTAAATCTCCTTGCCTGCTGAGAAAAGTATAAAAAACGTGTATGCACCGGTAAGCCTCGTAATAATCTGCAGCATTCTTAATGGGTTTCCAAAGCCGTCTGCCGTCGGGCTCCATTCCGCTCATCGGGCTCATGCTTAGACATCACTGACGTCACACCGACACTCGCGTTTATTATTATCTTGCCCGTGCCAACTCCAGTACCGTGCATTACTGGCGACTTCGGCGTCCACCTGTCCGCGATTGGCTGGCGGCGGCCGCGCCAGACGAGACAGGGAGCAGCCCGTCCTGTCACGCGGGCCGGGCGCGGACCGCCTGACCAGCGGCGCTGCCGTCTGGGCGCGGACAACGGCAATCCGCACTGCTGACCAAGGTCGTGAGACTGAATGGCACGGCTGAGCTTTGAACCAAATGCCCTGCCGAAGTACGCGTGTATGTATGTATGTGTGTAGCATGTATGGTGTCTGTTACTGTTAGAGCAGCACGGGAGGGGGTGACATGAGCGCCAGCAGGTCAGATCAGTCTGTGTTGGAAGTGTATTGGGCGGCCGCGGGAACGGAACCAGCTCTAGCACACACGAAAGTGCGGCACATCACGGCCGCCCCTCATCACGCGAGAGAACTAGGAGCAGAGCTGAGGGTGTATGAGAGTACGCAGGAGTGCTGTGAAATCTTTACCATAGGCATGTGTAGATAGGTCGCGCTCGGTTACTTCAAGATTACGATCAACGTGTGCGATGGCATTCGTCACTTTCCTTCTTCAGAATTGCGGGCAAAACTGCGTTAATGTGCGGTATCGCGACCATCGTATTGCCCGCACGGATTTCGTGAAATCGCTGTTCTTTAATCATGCGCTTACTGGAAAGTACCTCCAGTGTCTTGCCACTGTAGCGGTCCCCGAGCCGCTCCGTTCGCCCGATGAATGGCATGCGGTCAGATGTCTTGCTAATCGGGTGACCACGATAGGGGTAAATGTAACACCATTTTTAGTGCAAACGCTGAATGTAGAGCATGACTCGCATTTGGTCGTACACCGCCGACTATAAAAACGGGGGTAGTTGGGCTTATTCCGCTGTTTTTCCCCGCTGCGACGCGCGCTAACAACGTGCAGCTCCCGGAACTCGCTCCTTGTCCGGCCCGCCGTGTTCCGCCCGCGTCTATTACTGGACACCAGTCCCGGACGTACTCCGCTGACGCCAGCGTCCGCCGGAGGGCCGTCACGCCCCCGAGTCCGCCCACGTGCTCCGGCGACGCCGGAGCGCTGGGGGCGGGCCGGGACCACCCCCCACACACGCGTGCCGTCATCCAGCGCGTTCTTTATTGCCAAATGTCCGCGTACGGCCTAAACCAATGACAGCCGTCAGGAGCCAAACCAATACAGCCCAGGCCATGATCCCCATGGCCCACGGACGCGGGGCGGAGTGGGCGCCGCCGCTGCCGCCGCCGGCTCCACGGCCCGGAGACCGCGGGTGCCGGCGGCGACGGCGGCGGCCCGACGGAACTGAAACGGAAGGCTAGCTGACAGCACGACGCCGAGCGGTCGCAGAATTTCCACAAGCGAGCGGGGCGGCGGGGGCCGGCGGCTGGTCCGGTAAGCTCACCGGAGAGCACCGGCTCCGCTGCCTCGCGCCTATATAAAACACTCGGTAACAAATCCGAACCGGCACCAGGCGGAGCCGGACGCCTCTCGGCCGACGCGCCTGCGCGCGGCCGGCGCTGTGACCGTGGCGCCGGGCAGCCGGCCGGGCGCTCAGTGGGCGGCGGCCGGCTCGGCGGCGAGGCGCGAGGCGAGCCGCGGCTCGGCCAGGTGCCGGGCGAGCAGGCCGGCCGGCAGCGGCTCCAGCGGCGCCGCCAGCGTCGGCATGCCGGCCAGGCAGCGTACCAGGCCCGCGTACAGACGGCGCCAGCGGCCGGCTGCGCCGCCGTTGCCGCCAGCGGCCGTCGCCTGCTGCACCAGTTGGTCCCCGCGCAGCAGCAGGAGCACCGCCGCCGACACGCCGAACTGCCGGCGAGACGACCGGCCGTGAGCAGTCAGCAGTCAGCAGTCAGCAGCCAGCAGTCAGTACGGCTGGACGGCGCGCTGACTCACGCGGCCAGGGCAGCGCTACCACGGCGAGGGCGCTCGTATAACCGCGGGTCACGCAGGGAGCCGGCGCTGCCCACCGTCGGTAGCAGGGCAGCAGTGCCACATGATGCTCGTGCTGGGTGCACAGTGGGTTCCTGTATGAGGTGTCACATGCCACGGCAGCAGGAAATAAGCGACACCAGGCTGCGGAGCTGACGGTTAGGCGCGGCGGCGCCACAGAGTGCCGTGGACGCCTGGGCGGCGCTGGTGCCTGGCGCCCGCCGCGGCCTGCCCGCGTCGCCGGCAGCGCCACCTACCGGCGAGCTGGCGATGATCTGGAGCGGCGTCTTGCCGGGCGTGGCCGAGTCGAGGTCGCTGGAGGCGGTCAGAGCCTCGGTCAGCTCGGTGATCTGGTCCAGGTCGCTGTTGCTGATCACCTGGAGGCGGCCGGGGTCCGTCGCACGTCACCGCACAGCGCACGCTCGCCAGGTCCGACCGTCTGGTGCCGCTAGTGTTCGACTATCGCAGGGGCTTGGGACGACACGCTGGTATGATCAACCAGTCCGGCAACACACTGTGGGGCTACACTGTCCAACGCCGCGTGGGAATTCCTATTGTGGTTACTGGATTTCGTCGCACTCGGTCCCATGGGCAGTGTGAGCCAATACGACAGCTTTCGTTACCGATGAATCGAGGTATGAAGACATGTAACTGAAGCAGTGGATGCGCGCCACACGGCACAGTCGGCAGATCAAGATTTACCATGATGAAGAGAAAGATCCAGCACGTCGACAAGTTGCTAAGCAGCTTTGGACAATGCTGGCAACCTTGTCAAACGCGTAATTGTGCTGTATTAGAATAATATCGAGTCCGAAGATGGGGTCTTGAGAAACAATTCACACCATTCTCGCATCTCTCACACAGACACAACTCGCGTCCGCTCACTTCTGCTCCGATACTTCCTTAACCCTGCCGAAGAGCGATCTGGTACGAAACTTACCAGAAGCCAAGACAGATGTGAAAGGCAAAAACAGCTGTGGTAACATACTCGCCTTACCATCCTCCGCCACAGTGTTTTACTAACAGATCTGTAATCGGTACTGCACATGTCCACGGCCGGTAACGCTTTGAGAGGACCGTTTTAGCGGTCTTCGAAGGCTTTCCTTCCCACACGGTCAGCACTGACCACGCCCGGACGCTGCGTATGCCTTCATGCCATCCCTCGTCCCCCCCCCCCCCCCCCGACTGTCTCATTCCCGACGGCGCGAAGACGGATGGTCGGAGCGGCGGAACTCGGCTGAGAGCCAGGGCACGTGCAACCCAACAGCATCACTCATCCATCCAGCAACCCGCTCGGGCATCGGTACGGGGCCTCAACAATAGCCACGGAAAAACGACCCATGGGACCGAGCACCCCCAGCCACACAAAGCTAGCTGAACACATCAAAGACGAGCACGCTTTTGTGCGGGGGACCTCAGAACACCCGCGGCCAGGTGTCGGCAACACGTCGCGGACGAGACGGCAGCGTCACCCGTCGCCATCCGCGCGCAACCCACCATCTGCAGGCAGACGTGGAACTTGTGCAGCATGTTGTCCAGCTTGTCCTTGTGCAGCACGGTGACCAGGTGTTTGAGCAGGGTGGTAGCGATCTGGTAGTACTGCTGGCTGCTCAACACCGGGATGCAGCGTAGCACGAGCGCCTGGGGCGGACACGCGCCGCAACGTCACGCACGGAAGCCTCCAGTCTACAACTCCGCACAGCAAAACACATCCACCGTACTAGGACGCATGCTGCCGCAGTGACTCAGGGAAACATCCGTAAACTCGCACGAGAGCAAGGTCCATCACTCAGATCAGGCGCCGGTCAGTTGGATGGTTACAGAGCTAAGGGGCGCACCGAAGGGGATGGGCACCCCGCGCCCCCAGGCACCGGTCGAGTATCAGCGCTCCGCAGTGCAGTCGAGGCTATACGTCATCTGCACAGATTGCCGCTATTTCGAGGAACAAAAGCGCGCGGACCAGTACGCTTAGTTACGCCACAAACCACCGGCTTCACACCGGCCCCTTGCACCCGGCGCATTCCTACACACTGGGAGGCCTCCACACAGCGTCTCTCACCGCAAAAACCAACACCCGGGCCCTCTCCCTTCCCGACAACACCAGGCCCCCAAGCTCCGTCCCCTCCCGACAACACCAGGCCCCCACGCCCCGTCCCTTCCCGACAACACCAGGCAGCCCAGCCCACGTTCCGTCGGTCGCGAGCCTACGCCTGCTCACCTTGCCTTTCCTGATTCCGAGGATCTGCACCAGCTGCGGCTCGCGGCTGAGCGCGGCCCACAGCCGGCCGGTGGCGGCGGTCACCAGCCCACGCCTGCTCACCTTGCCTTTCCTGATTCCGAGGATCTGCACGAGCTGCGGCTCGCGGCTGAGCGCGGCCCACAGCCGGCCGGTGGCGGCGGTCACCAGCCCACGCCTGCTCACCTTGCCTTTCCTGATTCCGAGGATCTGCACGAGCTGCGGCTCGCGGCTGAGCGCGGCCCACAGCCGGCCGTGGCGGCGGTCACCAGCCCACGCCTGCTCACCTTGCCTTTCCTGATTCCGAGGATCTGCACGAGCTGCGGCTCGCGGCTGAGCGCGGCCCACAGCCGGCCGGTGGCGGCGGTCACCAGCCCACGCCTGCTCACCTTGCCTTTCCTGATTCCGAGGATCTGCACGAGCTGCGGCTCGCGGCTGAGCGTGGCCCACAGCCGGCCGGTGGCGGCGGTCACCAGCCCACGCCTGCTCACCTTGCCTTTCCTGATTCCGAGGATCTGCACGAGCTGCGGCTCGCGGCTGAGCGCGGCCCACAGCCGGCCGGTGGCGGCGGTCACCAGCCCACGCCTGCTCACCTTGCCTTTCCTGATTCCGAGGATCTGCACGAGCTGCGGCTCGCGGCTGAGCGCGGCCCACAGCCGGCCGGTGGCGGCGGTCACCAGCCCACGCCTGCTCACCTTGCCTTTCCTGATTCCGAGGATCTGCACGAGCTGCGGCTCGCGGCTGAGCGCGGCCCACAGCCGGCCGGTGGCAGCGGTCACCAGCCCACGCCTGCTCACCTTGCCTTTCCTGATTCCGAGGATCTGCACGAGCTGCGGCTCGCGGCTGAGCGCGGCCCACAGCCGGCCGGTGGCAGCGGTCACCAGCCCACGCCTGCTCACCTTGCCTTTCCTGATTCCGAGGATCTGCACGAGCTGCGGCTCGCGGCTGAGCGCGGCCCACAGCCGGCCGGTGGCGGCGGTCACCAGCCCACGCCTGCTCACCTTGCCTTTCCTGATTCCGAGGATCTGCACTGCACGACTGCGGCTCGCGGCTGAGCGCGGCCCACAGCCGGCCGGTGGCGGCGGTCACCAGCCCACGCCTGCTCACCTTGCCTTTCCTGATTCCGAGGATCTGCACGAGCTGCGGCTCGCGGCTGAGCGCGGCCCACAGCCGGCCGGTGGCGGCGGTCACCAGCCCACGCCTGCTCACCTTGCCTTTCCTGATTCCGAGGATCTGCACGAGCTGTGGCTCGCGGCTGAGCGCGGCCCACAGCCGGCCGGTGGCGGCGGTCACCAGCCCACGCCTGCTCACCTTGCCTTTCCTGATTCCGAGGATCTGCACGAGCTGCGGCTCGCGGCTGAGCGCGGCCCACAGCCGGCCGGTGGCGGCGGCGCGCATCTGCTCCGCTGGCCGCGGCGGCTCGCCTCCTCCGGCTCCGAGTCGACGCTGGCCGCGCCCGACGCCCGCCGGTCAGCCCGCTCCACCAGCATCACTTGCTGGTACAGCTGCAGCACACGACAACCGTCACTGACCGCTGGTGCAGCTGTCCGACGTACCAACGGCTCAGTATCATACAGCTACGAAGCGGAGACATTGCCATTGGGCGTTGCTTCAGCTACGGCACGCATAGCCGGATTCCACGCCACATCAACCAAGTAACCGAGCATACCACATGTGATTTGTCCATTTAAGCTTTGGATGCCCCAGAAAAGCGTAATACATGGAAGATGAGAACATTTGAGCATGAAAGGGCGCTACAGGAAACATCACTGTGACAGCACTAATTCAGGGCATAAACAATTCCATTCTGGGCAACATAAATCCTAATTCACACGGCCTCGATAAGTCACCGATGCCTCAGGTGATTGCTGCCCTCCCAGCAGTACGGCAGCAGCTCCCCGTGGTGTCGCCGCGCCGACATCGCTACCTGTTCGATCAGCAGCAGGGTCTGCCGGTCCCGCTTGGCCTCCTTGTGGTCGCGCGCGCCGTCCGCCGACTCCTGGTTGATCACCTGCAGGTCGATGATCTTGCGCGGCGCTGTAACACTGGCCACCTGGCGGCGACGGCAGCAGATTACGCACATGTCTGCGGGGGGCCAGCCGGCGAGGCGGCCAACTCGGGCTGGATTGCGATGACCAGAAGAGCTGCCGCACCACCTCGGTCATATGAGGTGACGCCCCAGAGGTCATTAAGAGGTATTAAGAGGTGGAGTCCAGGTGGTCACGAACGCGCGGAGGGAACAGCACATAGCACTAGGTAAGAGAGATAACAGGAGTAATCAGTGAGCAAGCAGGAAGTGACAATGAAACAGTTTCTGCGACCAAGCGCGTCCCCAAACTCAAAACAGAGGCAGAGTGTGCCACTACACTTCAATCTGCCCTTAACTACGATACGCTACACCCACTTGTATGATAACGCACACACTACCAGGGCTCACTAAGCACACACTTGGCTAGAGTGGAGGGAGGGAGGAGGGCGGAGTAGGCAACTATCCCGGCTGGGCATATTATGTGTCTGAATTCAAGATTTTGGGCGGAAACTATAGCTTTTACGCACGACTGAGGGCTCATCTTTGCACTCTTTTCAGTATGTTCGGGCTCCCATTGGTGGCTGGATTAAACCGTCCACTTCCTTCGGTCCCAATCGGGGCTCTGATGAATACATCTCACTGTTCATGGCACCTTTGGCTGACGCGAATTCCACCCTCAATTTCCCCCATCCCTAGTAAAACAAGCTCTGAGCTCAAACAGCCCGCCGGGTCCGGTCACCACCCGCTGACAGCCCGCCGGGCCGGGTCACCACCCGCTGACAGCCCGCCGGGTCCGGTCACCACCCGCTGACAGCCCGCCGGGTCCGGTCACCACCCGCTGACAGCCCGCCGGGCCGGGTCACCACCCGCTGACAGCCCGCCGGGCCGGGTCACCACCCGCTGACAGCCCGCCGGGTCCGGTCACCACCGCGCCGACAGCCCGCCAGGCTAGGTCACCTCCGCCCCGACAGCCCGCCGGGCCGGGTCACCGCCGCGCCGACAGCCCGCCAGGCTAGGTCACCTCCGCCCCGACAGCCCGCCGGGCCGGGTCACCGCCGCGCCGACAGCCCGCTAGGCTAGGTCACCTCCGCCCCGACAGCCCGCCGGGCCGGGTCACCGCCACGCCGGGCCTGACCTGCAGTTTGCCGAGCGAGTTCTCCATCTGCGGCGGCTTGTAGTTGCGGTGGTCGGTGTGCTTGTCGTCGCGCTGACCGCGGCCGCCGCGCGAGTCCCGCCGACCCTGGCTCAGCTGGCGCGAATTGAAGTGCTGCCGGACGGACGGCACGAGGTCAGCGGCCGTACCCGGAGGCACGCAACCTCACCGAATGTAGCGCCACCCGGCGCGTCACCAAACTCAAAACGGAAGCAATGTTATCACAATATTATTAGAAGTTATTCTTGAGTATACAAAAATGTATTGCCCTCAAAGTAACTTAATCAGCAAATACGACACGAAACACTGTGCCTGACAACACATTTATCACCAGGGCTCACTACGTACACCCTTGGCTGAAGTGGAGGGAGGGGAGGGGGAGACAAAGATCCCGGTCAGGCCGCGCCGGCGTCTGGTCAGTGGCGATCGCCGGTGACGGCGCAGGTGGTGGGTGGGGGTGGGGAGATGGGGGAGGGGAACACGAGTTCGAGCACGACTGTCGACGCCGGGAGCATCGGCACTGACGCGGTCACTGACTGGGAGAGCAGCGATCAGTGTAGAGAACCTCAGTAAAATGAGAAAAACACGACCACGGGTATAAGAGAAGTAATATTTCAGTGTACCCCTCCCCCTGAACAAAAATCAAAACCGCTCGGGACCATACTTGCACCAGTCTGGTTCGGCTGTTTCCAGTACTCGTGTATACCCATCGGACTTTCATGCATTAATCCTGCCACTTAAAAAAATTTGGAACATCCGCACCCGCCCCGGACCCAAATTTGAAAAACCCGCACTCGGCCCGCAATGCAAGTGCCCCCCAAGCCGCATCAGCCGCCGACCTTGTTCTTACTTCGAGCACCTATACGCAAACCTATAATAGCACTCCTGCCAAAAAGAAGCTGTAAGAAAAATGCAATCATATAAATCCTTTCTGTTTTGTTTTTTTCATGGCCAACATCAAGATCCCTTACTTTAGTCCCAGATATGCATACTTAGCCTTATCATAACATAACGGTCACCATAATAATTCACCAATCTACAAAACTGTATTCACCAATGTACAAAACTGTCACCTTTTATAAACCAACACTGAGCGTAACTATTGAATCTTATTCATCTAATGATCTTGATATATTTTGAAGAGAATGCTGAAGATACAACACGTGGCATTTCCTTCGTCGTCCGGCGTAATGTCCGGGACAAAAATCGTATACAATGAAAAATAAAATGACCTTACATATACAAACATGTCATGGAAGCAATACAAAAAGCAACATTGTCCGTGGCTTACAGGCACCACAACAGCATTGCCAATTCCATAGGCAGCAGCAGGTGCCTGACTGATGGCTGATTACGCTTGCCTGTATCCATCAAGGAAGCCTAGCACTTCACTAAAAACTTTTTTAAACCTGGATTTATACCCAAAACCCGTTCAACACGGTTGTACAAATACTGCCTTCTGGGGGAGGGAGGGGAGGGGGGGGGGGGCAATAGGTCGGCAAAGCTCGCCATGGCGCGGCTGGTCAGTGGCGCCACCGCCGCTGACTAACCCGGAAATAGTAGTCGGTGTTGCCCTTGATCTGCATGCGCTGAATGTTGAGCAGCCACTGCCGCTCGCGGGCCGTCATCAAGCCGGCGTAAGGGTCGTGCTGGCGCCGCTCGCGGTCCTGGCGCCACGCCTGCTGCTGCTGCCCACCGCCCCGGCCGGCCGCCGGTGGCCGCGGCCCGCCCGCCGCACGGCCGGCCCGGTCTGGCGGCCACACAGCGTCAGAGAACACACACAGACACACATCACACACGGCCGGCCCGGTCTGGTGACCAGACGGCGTCAGACAACACACACAGACACACATCACACACGGCCGGCCCGGTCTGGCGGTCACACGGCGTCAGACAACACACCCAGACACACATCACACACGGCCGGCCCGGTCTGGTGGCCACACGGCGTCAGACAACACACCCAGACACACATCACACCGCCGGCCCGGTCTGGCGGCCACACGGCGTCAGACAACACACACACAGACACACATCACACGGCCGGTCCGGTCTGGCGGCCACACGGCGTCAGACAACACACACACAGACACATATCACACACAGCCGGTCCGGTCTGGCGGCCACACGGCGTCAGACAACACACCCAGACACACATCACACGGTTGGCCCGGTCTGTCGGTCAGACGGCGTCAGACAACACACACAGACACACATCACACAACTTGCGCGGCCTGGCTTGAAGTTCGACCCTTCCCCCCCCTCTCCCCCCATCCAGCTGAGCCACCTCCGCCGGGCCTGGCCCTGCCCGTGGACGGCCGGCTCACCTCTGGCCATCAGCTGCGGCGGCAGCAGGACGGTGACGCTGGGCGGCGGCACGTGCGTGTCCGGCATGCGGAAGGTGTCGCCGGGCGCCGCCGGCCGCGGCAGCCGCATCGGCGGCGGTCGGCTGAGGTCGGGCGGCGGCGGCAGCGGGCCCGGCGGCGGCCGGCGCGCCAGGCCTCCGCCGAAGCCGGGCGGCGGCGGCGGCGGGCCCGGCCGCGACAGCAGGTCGTGCTCCAGCTCCTCCACCGTGCGCACCTTGGGCGGCGCGGCCGGCGGCGGCGGCGGCGCCCGCGGCCGGCCCACCACCGACATTATGGCCGGGTCGTCGAAGGCGCCGGCCGGCCGCGTGGGCGTCGTCGACCAGATGGAGGTGGTGGACGGTGAGCCGGACACGTCCGACTCGAGCAGCGACGACAGCGGCGGCGAGCGGGCGCGCCCGAACTGCCCGGGCGGAACACGGCGGGTCAGACAACGCCTCGCTCTCGGTGACATGTAAGTGTCTTCATACCAGACCCCAGACCGTACGGCACTTCCTCTACCACACCACCGATCCACAGAAGTATCGAAGCCCTCTACACGCCAACATCCGTCTCTACCCATTCTGAGCCAGCTGGCACCGACCTTGAGCGCGTGACGTCCCCGGCACTACCAGCTCCAGTGGACTTTGGCCCCCATACCCCAAGGGGAACGGAATGGTGGCGTAGACATGGGTGAAAAGCTTTTCATCGGCCCCAGCTTTCCTGACCTACTCGACCTCGAGCGGGTACGGTACAGGGACAGCACTTTTGGTCGGTGCCAGCTGCCGCGGCGCGACCCTCACCTGCGGCGGGCGCGGTATGGCAACGCCGCCGGCCGAGCCGCGGCTGCGGCGCACAGACATGATGCACGGGTCATCCAGCTCGTCGTCGGTCACCAGCTGGGAGAGGCCGCGCTCGATGTCGGCGGCCAGCGGCGGCTCCCGGCCCTGCAGCGCCGACCGCTCGCGCTCCAGGCACGCGGCGATCTTCGCGTGGTCGTCCTCCTCCCACTCGCCTGGGGTCAGCAAGGCACGGGCGGCGTCAGGGGCTGGCAGGCGCTGGCGCGGCGCACCACCAGGCCGGACGTGCGCATGCGATAGCCAGGAGAGGCCGACTGAAGACGCCACTGAGCGTACGACAGTGCATAGCACGCAACGGATCGACAGTCCAATGGGTATTTGATAAACTTATATGTAGTGAAGGCCAGGCGCCACAGAAGATGGACCTCGCAGAAAAGGAACGCTTTGTGTTTTTCCCTATATGACGTGTGAGTTTCGACAATACCACGCCCATGTCCTATGCAGGTTGCGAATGACGGGCAGACCAGCGCGCTGTTGCGGCCGCGGGCCCCGTTCGCCACCCACCGGCGTCGGCACCGAAGGTCTCGCTGTTGAAGCGGTCATCTTCGTCCCGATCGTCCACGTCCGGCGGCTCCAGACCATCATCAAGCTGAAGCGACGGGAGGAGCGTCAGCTGGCACACAGCAGGCTCAGTGGCGGCGAGCGGAGACTTCAACTGAGAAGACGGCACAGTCAGTTCGTCCCACCGACACCCCAGCACGCCCAGCGAGTGCTCTCGGCCGGGTCATGGCGGACTGTGAGAGGATACAGCATGCTGCAGACGACGCAGGTTTACAGCAGCAGCGGCGAAGACAGGCAGTCATTGAGGAGCGCCGCTGGTGAAAGTTTCCTTTGTCAAAAGCGTTCCTCTACCCGAGGATTCATGCCATAATGCATTGGTAAATCCGCAGAGTTTGTACCGTCCCGAAAGTTAGCCATCTCGGAATGTTGGCACGCTTCGACACGAAAACGCCACATGGATGGTCATCAGATGTATGGGCACGGACTTCCACGCTGAGAGGGTTCCATAATGATGATTATTTGGGCTTCGGGACACGCCGACTGGATTGGTCATATCACGTGTTGGCGACACTTTATCGGGGAATTCAACCGTGATAAAATGTGTACTCCGGATTTCATACTAGAAAGAATGGACACACGAGGCTCTCCGTGCACAAACCACACAAAAATGATCCATACCAAGCAAGAAGCGTCGGACACACAAATGTCACAACATTTTGCATCATCCAACAAACCGGCCCAAACCATTTTCTCACTAACGTCCCCCAACACCGTCCATCCGTCTTCACCCAAACTCCAACTGCAAATCCTTCCAATGGGGTCCCGCCCCTCCGCGCTTTTACTGCACACATTATAAACGCCACATCCGCGTTCAGAGCCCACACACGGGGGCGCGTATATAACGAGTTCCTTTAGCTCGCCTCTTATTAAAATTGTGGTAAGATACTTAAACCTTTCCAGTTATCCAGACTACGCCATACCTGAGGATAGCGTACCACGCGCCCGGTATTCCCACAATACAGCCCCCCACGTGCATCTGTTAAGACGTCTGGGTATCGCGGAGCTGCTATCGACCACGGACGATTGCAGTCTGCTGAACGAGAATGGGCTTCATTTAGGCATGGCATACCTCGACTGAAAAACGCCTTTGACTGTGGTATGCGCCAGCGTCTTTCGAGAAACTGCATGCCATGGGCATTCAGTGATATCTTTTGCAATGGATCAAGCCCAAGCCCAAGCCCAAGCTGGGCAAAACCCAACGGTGGTCGTCACTAGATAAAAGTCTGAGCAAGCAGCTCCTGGTACTGGTACCAAGATCTTCATCAACAATCTGCCGGGGAGCAGCGAGTGGCACCAGACTTTTTGCCAATGACACCAAGCTAAGCTGCAGTGCGACTGACCAGCCAGGATTGAAGCAGCAGTGACCTGATCTTGACATGGTCCACCCACAGTCTAAAGCTAGCTTTTACTATGTCATGTAGCAAAGTGTAGCACCATGCTGGCACAGTGGAAGTATTTTCTGCTTGCTGGTTTTTACTGACTCTTTATAATTAATATAAGCTTGATGGAAAACACTGAGCCCATCCTTTGTGAGCAAACACCATCCACCGGGATAGTAGCCTGGGATATCCCAGGCAAGTGCATCAGACGTTCTACAAAAAATGTGCGAGTCCAAATGTGGGCAAAAAGTAGAATGAATTGATTCGATGTCTGTCGCTATTCAGGGTGTTCCTTATTTCATGTCTTACCGCCCCCATAGACTCAATAGCCCGAGGCCATCAAAACAGAAGGAAACTTTATCAGAACCCCACCACAGGTCATGGCCATGGATAAACTGGCCATGCAGACCTGCTGGGCCACATGGCCAGTGCCTGGGGACAGCCATAGGGGGTCAGTCCCAGATCGGTACCCAGCACGCATAGATGCGGTGCTCAGGATGGTCTGAGGGCAAGCATTGTCATGTTCGACATGGAGCATGGAGGGATGACCAGGGCTGGGGAGCTGGGCGTCGATGTCCGCGCCACCAGACATGGACCTTTCTGTGACCCAGTTGAAGTCCATCCTAAAGAGGCAGTTGAGAGAACACTGGTCAGGAAGCTGATGGCTATAGACTGCCAAAGGAACTAGCACACTCTCCAGAAGTACATGATACAGCTCATGTAGTCACAACTCAAGCCAAGACTGACAGAGTTGCATAGGCGTAAGGCTGGAATTACACCTGGAGTCAGGGTGCTCCAGGTGCCTTGGCTCATAGCACCTGGAGCCAAGTGTTCCAAGACTAGGCTATCAAGGACCTGTAGGCTTGTTTGCTTCACCAATAGTCGTGTTTTGAGTTCTTTGACATGAACAGCTCACAATATTATTCATTATAGGCAAAGCACACCTAAAACATCCTACCCCTATGACCGCTAAGCAGTCAAAAACGGCCACAATTAGAGGATGATGATGTACCCTGAGCTGGCTTACTAGCATATCACCCCAAGGCCAGACCATCACAGCTGGCTGCTACATCAAGGTCCTGAAGAAGATGGAGAAATTTGCCATGCAGTGACATGTTACAAGCAATCTTTCATGGGGATGGTACTCCAGCTCATCAAACAAAGAAAACACAAGAGTGGTGCCAAGCAATCTTTCCCTACATTTTGGGTAAAGGACATATGGCTCCCCATAGCTCAGATCAGGCCCTGATTAAGAACCTGTGGCCAATAATCTAGGACAAGAAATATCATGCAGTGCAATATGTGCTGAAGCCACTAAACTGGGAAGAACACACAATAAGAGTGCACAGACAGGCAACCAGCTAATCTGAAGCCAGCAAATTGTCATACAAGAAGTGCCTGCATGCATTATGGCTGCTTGGTTCAGCATGGAAGGTGAGTGGAAACATGGCGTTCATGTGTTACCTGACATATTGATAAACTGGCCCAGACAAGAGGGATTTGTTCTCTAGACCCCATATGAATATGACCACAGTTCACATTCTGAGGGTAATCAAGCCACCACCCCACTCAAAGGTATGTAAGAGTCACCCCATGGTCAGCAATAGAAACACAGTTCTCAAGCACATTTTCTGCTCACAAGGAATCACTCTATTCAGAAATAACTTGGATGAGGGCTGCCTGAAGAAACTTCTGTTTTCATTATAAGCTGTGATTCAACTTTAGAGTACACCACTGTCAATAATCATGCAGTGCCTACCTATGCATCTTAAAGCCCCAGTTGACAGAATTGAGGTTGAAAAAATTGACTCCAGAGCTATGGAAGTTCCTGATCATTTAAGTCACACATGCAGAACAACAATCACTTCCTTGACTCATGCTCCATGAAAATCCATCCACTGCACTGGACTTCTTCTTAACCTTGATGTGATGTACATGGTGCACATGCAAGCACAACTCATTTCAGGTAAATTGAGCTAAATTTTCACCCAAAAACATGACAATGTATGGGTAATGATGCTAAAAATGAGACATCACTAAAACAGCCCATTTCTTGAAACACTGGCATCCTTGTCCCTATGCCCTTATATTGGCCAATAAGATTTAAAGTATGAATATGGTGCAGTTATTCCTGCAATGTTCTCAGAGCAGTGGACAGGCTCAGCTACCACACATGTCCAGGATAACCAGCTGCAGTCACATGTATGATTACAGGCATAACACACCATTGCAAATACCATATTAGAAAGTGCCCTAGTTAACTGGTGAAGTCAAGCACTGAATGCGTGAAACATACCAAGCATCTGCTTACCACGTGGGATGCATCAAACCCAAAAAAGCCGTCCGACATTGTGGTATTTGTGTAAGCTTGCAGAACGCTTCAAAGGCATACTCCAAAGAATCTGGAACCTTATTGTGCTAGAACAGCATTTTCCTTCGAGAGTGCGCGCAATATCCCGCAACCGCTTTATCACAAGCCCACACGCACTCGAATGAACTGACAAGTTCACACCACGCACGAACGCGTTGGCACCTTCACAACTTTCCTTTTCCGCAACCGCGCCACAAAAAGCGCAAACTAGTTTTCCAAAGCAGCAAGGTCCAGGTTTTGCTTGGCCGCCTTAACGCGTTTTGTCGTGTTTTGCTAGTCCGCCTTGGAATTTTCACATTTGAAGATATTGAAACAAACAGTGGATATAGTGACATAAGTTCGCTGACTAAGAATCAGTGATATGTTTGAATCCTCGAAAGGACTGCTCTGGAAAATGCAACCTTCATATTTAGTTGATATCCTTCCTGATACGTCATTGTTTGATTGCGTCATCGTCGTACCTTGCACAACATTGATTAAGAGCCAATTGAACATAGCAATTGACGACCGTTATGTCTGGAAATTGTGCTCACGAATGTCGGGTGTGAACAACTCCACAACGGTATTTTTCTTGGCCTTGTTTGCGGCATGGCCAATGAAATGACGGGATTTGATTACGCTTGAATGGCGTCATGGATGCCTGGTGTAGCTCAGAAACCAGAGAGGCTTATGCTTTCAGTAAAATAGGGCTGTGAACTGCACCGAATGATCTTCGAGGCGGCTTTCTCACCTCAAAACTGCACTCAAAATTGAACACTCTTTACATGGAGCGTAAAATCTTTTTGGTTGCTCTTTCCGAATCATTTGATTGTCCAGAGGTCGTTTTTTGTACGCAGTGTGCGTTTGCACTTGAATTCAAGAGCTATGTAAGATCGCCTTTTAAAAAATCGTAGCTTGTTATTTTGTTCATTTCTAAACCTTTCCCGCGGCCCTTTACCGGCGATGTAACGAGCATCGACCAACATCGACGACGCTGCTATCAGTCGCACCAGGGTGCTCCTAGAGTCGAGTCACCTCCTTTCACCTTTTCAGAACGACTTCCGTCCTGTCCCTCTCCGCGGCGGACAACTGGTTCACATCACTGATTCAATTTAGCTCAGATTTCACACTAAATCAAGCACGGCAGCACCCCTCCTTGATTCAAAAGCTACTTTCGACAGGGTGGATTAAAGCGTCCTCCTCAAGTTGCATGAAATTAGAGTTCGCAGCCGACTCACCGATTTGTTAACAACTTTCTGGCTGATTAGGACTGATAAGTTCTGAGCGTTGCGGAAATACCTATTCTTCATCGACGGCGCAGGATCTGTTATGCTCTAGCGTCGTGGTCAGCGCGCCGCGCCAGCCGTTTCTGCGAAATGTCACATTGCACTCATTGACCACCTTTAATGCATTGAGGTTCAGATTAATGCACACTTGCTCCGCCTTCCACACGGTATGGGTGTGCGGACCCGGAAGAGTTCGTCTGGTGTTCATGGCAGGGCAACCCGGCACAGCGCACTAGGATGGTAAAGGTTAGCTTAGTGCACCTGTTTATCAAACACACTACTGGAACAAACATTACTCGTATTGATCAGGTTACTTCCTACGCCAATCACTGACGCTCGCCTTGAAATACAGTTAACCGACAGTTGTGGACACGCATTTTAAGTGAACCAATACATAGAATGCAGATATTAAAATCCATGAAGGAATCCTCCCAAAAAAGGCCGCAGAGTCCCACCCTCTTTGGTCCGTTCCAAAGAACCTACCCCAGAGAAGCCGCGGTGCGGAGTGCCTCGAAAGACCGTTCATCGCTTCCCACATCGTGCTCGCCCTGGGATGGAACATTCGCTTCCTTGCGCATGCGCAGCACTCGACTTGCGGCACCTAGGATGCCTGGTGCGATTGTTCCGCTACCCAGCGACCGGCCGCGTCTCCTGTGCCGGCGGAGCCGACGGTCCGGGTGACGGCCACCTGGCGACAGATCTCCGAACCAACCGTCCCGAGGCGCCGGGTGCAACCGGGCTGCGCTCTCTTCCGCTTGTACGCACAGTGCCGGCCGATAGCGACAAGCAAGTCCCGCACCGCAGCGGGGGAAATACTTAACAGATCAAGTTCTTCCTCCGGACAGTGTCCCTATCTCCAGCCCACTTCCATATATTTTCAATAATATTAGTAATGTTTCTTTACGTCTTCGATATTCTCTACATTCGGCCGACCGAGCTGTGTGGTATGCGCATGCTAATGTCGACCAGGCGCCGCATTTTGTTCAACTAATTATAAATGATACCCACGCATGATACACACGTTGGAGATTGCAGATTGTCCCGGCGAAGGCAGCTGCAGTCATCATTTCTAGGCGAAATAATGCTTAACGTGTGATTTCCATAAGCCTTAACAGTGAAATAATCCCCCTTGTTCACAGTGTTAAATACTTTGGCATGACATCAGATCATCGTCCTACTCTCAAATTTCATTTTTCCGACCTTAAGAAGCGTTGCGACTGGGTTCAACGACTGAACATAATGAAATGCACAGCAGGACGGGGTAGGGCGCCGACAGACGCAGTCTCCTCCGCCTCTATACTTCCCGATCTTGGACTACAATGGCTTCATTTTTGATTATATGCCTTCCAAAAAGATCAAAAGCCTGGAAACCAGGGCTATAACTGGAAACCATCCAGAATGCTGCCCTCCTCATAGCGAAGGGTGTACTTCGCACCTCCCCGGTCCCAAACCTGCTCGCGGACACAAATCTTCCCTCCTTACCACACCAGCAAAAAAGGCGACTTCTCAGATTTTACGCCTACGCCACGGTGCACGTTAGTAATCCCCCACGCAACACGTTCTTACTCCTCCGCCTCAACCGCACACTTACCGACGTGGAAATTCTGCACCCAACCTCATCAGCACCCACGTTATTCCAGCACAACGAGCGCTTGATCTCCTGCTCATTCCCTGCAGTCCAACTCCCAGCCTGTGAACATTTTGGAGTGATCCTTTGCCGAAAGCAATCTTTATTTTTTTAAAGGCAAAAAAGTCATCCAAACCGAAATGAATGCAATACCCGCCGAGTTCAAATAAGAACATGACCAGCACACCTTTCTATATACTGACGGTTCCCGACGCAATGGCCACGAAGGGGCCGCCTTCATACATCATAATTACGCAAATCAAACCACCTGTCATGTTACAACACTGTATACGGCTAAACTATCAGTAATCCTGGCAGCCCTGCTTCACATGAAGCAAGATAACATGCATGGCGACAGTTATACGCAGTGTCTCTAATTCCTCGCTGCGGGCACTTATCACTCTTCATAACTCATCCCATCTAATTTTAAAAAAATATGCGTCGAATTCCCCGTTCTCTTCCTCAACAAACTCACGCAATCTTTCTCTGGATGCCTGGACGCGCCAATTTTCATTGGGACAACATCGATGACGAAGAAGCAAAAGGAAGGCTTGTGTTACCAGAGCGTGATCATCTTCCTCGTCCGGTTTCCGATATTCTTGCAGCCATCAATAAACAATTTTGTTTCTTTCTCCAATCTGATTGGGATCAACGCGCTCATCACCACCTTCGCCAAATCAAACCCATACTCCAGCACTGGCCAGCAATTGATCAGGACAATCGCCTGAAGGAAAAGCTGCTTTCCAGACTTTGCATCGGTCACACCAAAATCACCCAGTGCCGCCTCTTCGAGCACACCCCTCCGTTGTCATCGTGATGTCTCATTCACAATGAATCACATCCTCCTCGTGTACCCGGTATATTAACGATCAAGACAGTTTTTTATCAGTTACACTCACGTTAATCGGCTTCCATTCAATGTCCTTTCTCCCCTCGGTGACTCTTATATATCCTGACTTGCTCGTTCTCCTTTTCAAATTTTTCACAGTACAGGATTAGATAATCATTTAAAAAAGGGGTTTCCTGGATAATTTGGTAAAAGCAGCAGTTTTTTCTCCATGACCTAGGAGTTCTGTATTTTAAGACTTTCCTGAACTTAATAGCATCACAGAACTGCGAGGTCGTGCCGGGCAGCGGAGCCCGGGTTTGCTCCTGTTTCTGCGATGCGGCGCCCCGACGTCCATCCATCGCACAAGTCGCAGACAAATCAGCTGAGCCAAGGCCACCGCTGTCACGGCACCGTACAGAGGACTCGCTGTACCCGAAGAGTCTGGCGGAAGGGCCTGTGAACTGGCTCATTTATTCTTCAAGTATATGGAATGCGTGTTGTGTGGTGGTGAAAAATATATGTATGTTGCTGCTGTTTTCTTTACGTGGTATGATCTGTCTGGACAAAAAGGAGCCAGATTGACACAACGTGCCTTTAGAACACTCTTCCTTGCTTTGCACCAAAGAGCATGAGCCGGTTTCACGCAATCCTTGCCTAACCTTAAGCCACAAGTGAATATCCTCTCCCCCTCTGAAGTGACTCCCGGCACGCTAGGGGAGAAGAGGCCTTGCATTAGTCAACAAAAAAGGCGAGAAAAAAGATGTTGTTATCGCTTACCTACTGAGACCAGAGGGATGTCGTGCGTGGCATAGACATGATGGTGCATGTGCTTAGTCATAAATCGGGCTTTCAAGGCTCGATATAGGGTGGTGACGGCACCGAAGTTCCATATCACCCAAAAATATATTCAGCACCGGAACCATGTTTAGAATATAAGCTAGTGTCGGTCAAGACGTCCTAAAAGAACTGTCTGACTCACACTAGTTCACGCGTTAGTGAATATAATTATTCTTAAACACCAAAAAAAAAAACAGAAAAAGTTTAAGCGCCGAAGACAATTGTGATGCTTAAGCATCCAAAATTGGTCCGTAATTTGCGATGACACGGAGTTTCCAGGCAGAGTTTCCGGCAATCATCCACGGAGATATGGATGTGCGCTCTGGCAGTACGGACAACATCCGCCGAATTCGTCTCCCGTGCGCCATTCACAACCAACGGTAAAAGCTATACTCAGCGAAAACAGTTCCACCTTGGCCGTGCTCTGAAAATGTTCCATGCTCCCCCGGTACGGAAATTTATACGGGAAAATTTTATATGTTGGCAGTGTCGTCCATTCCGGGAAATTTCCCAACATCGCGGATAATTTTTCGAGATTATCTGCCGGCCCAACGCGCCCACAATTGTCGAATCGTTGACACCTGGCGTTCGTGAGCACGACTTCCAGATATCACGACCGTCAATTGGCTCTCAACCAATGTTGAGCAAGCCGTGCAAGATTATAGCACGAATTACGTTTGTGCTGCATACTATCAGAAGTCTTACATTCCTCCTAGCCATGGGGACATTAGAGCTGCAATCAAATAACTTGGGAACACCGCTATAACCGAGTATGTGAATATAATAGCGGGGCATAGCTTCACAAA